CACATGCGTGCATTGTGAGTCGATATGAGTTAGCCCTGCGTCCGCGCGGTTTTATACTAAGTCTCGCGCGCGACGCCTATCCGACTTCCGCATCGGAGAGTTATGGGATTGGCTACTGAGGGACTAGGAGTGTTGTCGCATTGTCTGTCCTCTATCGTTTTGTATATGTACGTGCGTATGTGTGTGTATTTTTGTTTTTATGTTCTTAGAGTGGTGTGCGCGTAGTGCGTGGCATGCGTCCTGGTTGACCGGCGACGAGTCACGCTTGGGACCTCAGCCCCCCAAGATGTCGGTTCGAGTGCGGGTCCGATAGAGGCGTAATACCGCGTGTACCCCCTATGCTACAGCGAACGAGAAACGCCCTCGGCTGGTCCACCTCTGCGATTGCAACTGATCAACTTTCGTAGTGTGGGCTGGTAGGTCGGCGGGGATACGCCCACCGAAGGGAGGTGACAACTCCCGTAAGGTGGAGGTAAGTCGTGCCTCGCGTAGGCCCTGTCCTGTCGTAGGGGCTCGCGAGAGGTATAGCTGGCACACTCGGCTGGAGCGGCTTGCGGAAGCTCCATGTATATTAGCGACGAGGATTCAAACCAACTCCTGCGTGGCGCGACCTCGAGGGTCCCGCGCTGCCCTGTGCGGTGCCAGACCGATGCGCTCGACATTGTGGTTCCCGTTAGTTGTCGCGGGCGGCCTCCATACTAGAGCCCATATTTTCTAGTATCTTGCAACCGTTAAGGTTCTCCTTCTCATGGCCTCGGCATTCCCTTGCGGTCCGCCCTGTCCCCTTACTCGGCTTATGACCCTTTGGCCCTTGTTATGCCGAAGTCAGGTGGCCTTCCCAGCCACGTGCTACGTTCTCATGTGCCCATGTCCCGTCACTTATTTACTTGACGTCGTTGGTGCCCTTCATCCTGCGGCGGTCAGCCCAAGGTACTATTTTCCCGGCGGTCCCTCTTTTGAGCAAGAAGGGTCGCTTTTACTAGTCTTTTGTCGCCTTTTTGCCGCTTGTCATTCCAGTAATCTATGCCTGGTCCAATGGTTTTGTCGGCCTAGGGCATCTTCCAGAGCCCTAGACGCCGGTGCTCTTGCCTTAGTCCTTCATTCTTTTCCTCTCTCTCGCCGCCAGATTTCTCTGTCGTGCACACTTTAGCCATATATCGTCTCTTGGGGGGGGGAGACTTGATTCGGGACCAACAGGTCCCGACACATTCCCCCCACTCGTTCGCGATGTCCTCAATGCACACCAATCCATGGTTAATAAGAAAAGGGGCAGGTTTGAGGAAGACAAGGGTCGGAGCCAGGTGTGGTAGGTGGTTAGTTTGTCAGGGTCCTTCTTGGTCGTTCGCAAGCCCGACCATCCTCAATTTATCATGTAATCGGCTTTTCGGCCTGTGCAATCCGTGTTACCATTTTCAAGTTTGGTCATTCCAATACATCATGTAATCGACTTTTTGGCCCGTGCAATCCGTGTTACCATTCCCAAGCTTGGCCATCCCATTACATCATGCAATCGTTTTTTTGGCCCATTGAATCCATGTTACCGTTCCCAAGCTTCACCATCACAATACATCATGTAATCGGTTTTTTGGCCCGTGCAATCCGTGTGCCTGACCACTTTTTCCCATATCCCTGCACAGTAAAAAATCTTATGACCTTCCTACGACCCCCTTTTCCCTGGCCTCATGCTTGTTCGGGGTCAATTGTTTTTCAAGTCTGGCTTGTTCCCCTCTTTGGTCTTATTTTTAGCTTGCCCATTCCTTTCGGCTTTTGCTGACCCTTCCTATTTTCGGTGTCGTTCAGCGTCCTTAACCTTTTATTAGGCTCCCCGTGCTTATTCTTAAGCAGTCCCTCACGCGTTTTTCATGACCATTTTGCTAAGCCTTTCGACTCATTCTCAGATTATTTCTTGCAATCCCTTGGTCTGCTTTGCTAACTTTCTCAATCCCTTCTACAATTTCTTATGTGGGTCCTCTGGTCATGCAATCAAAAAACATTTCAGGCCTGTATTCAGGCAATTTCACATGCAATTTCTATGGACAATTTTGCCATGTTTAAAACACCTTTTCATGCGATCTCTCTGGACATCTTCGTTCAACCCTTTCTCAAGCCCAAGCTCAAGCAGTTCTGCATACAATTCTTTTGGTCATCTTTGCCAGGCCTTTCTCAAGCCCAAGCTCAACAATTCTTCTGGACATCTTGCCAGACTTTTCTCAAGCCTGAGCTCAAACAATTCTGCATACAATTATTCTGGACATCTTGCTAAACTTTCTCAAGCCCGAGCTCAAACAATTTTGTATGCATACATCTTGCCAGGCTTTTCTCAAGTCCAAGCTCAAACAATTCTGCATGCATTTATTATGGACCTCTTGCCAGACTTTTCTCGGGTTCATGGCAATTTTATCCCTTTGACTGCTGTTTTTTTCACACGTTTTTTTATTCGGTAGATGGCACGCCTCCCCCCCCCTCAAACGCGATGTCCCCATCGGGCAATTGGTTCTCACTCGGAGGTACGCAGACCATGCCTGCTAACTAAGGGACGGATGCCGGCCCATTAGCTCCTAAAAGGAAGGATGATCAATCCTCCCTCTGCTGATAACTCGCCTCATCCTCCAACTTAGTCCAGCGGCCACTTCTTTGGAGACAAGCGTCGTCATTGAGGTACCACCTCGCATCTGACGGGTAGGTCCAGTCCATGCCTCCCAAGACCCCGTCTTACCATAAGTGGTTCCCTCGCGAATCGATCCTCCCGAGTGGCAATTTTTCTGGATCCGGCCTCTTCATTTCAAGAGAGTTGAGGGTCTCTATTAGTTTGTGAGTGCAGTTACAAAGACCTCACGGTTAGTCCCGGAACGGTTTCCATGATCCGGCAGGGCAGTGTCAATGCCCTGTGGTGGTGGCGAACTCCACCCGGTACCTCGCCCGACCTCCGTCGTGGACAGCGCCGCTAGACTTAGCGCAAACAGCCTTGGTTCATCCTAAACGGTTGGACCGCCCCTCAATGACGTGGCGTGTGGTTGGAGAGGGTCAAAGAGACTTAGAAGAACAACTTTCGGTCCCTTTCGGGGGCCCTAGACGTTTAGGAACTCAATGTGAGGCGCAATTCGAACCTTGCGGTTAGAGCTCATTATCGGAGTTGGTTCTGGATGTTGAGCATCGTTATGGATACCTTGATCCTTTTAAACTTGTGTCCCTGTTTATAAGAATCAGGTCGCGTTTGGACATTTCCCTATGGGGCAGAGGTCCTGGGGTCACGACGCAGACGCCAATCTTCCCTTTCCCGTTAAGGCCTGGGACTAGAAAATGAAAAACTAATCCATTCAATACATGGTCTTCATAACTCACGGGTGCCCAGGGTTCCCTATTTATGCAATGCAATTTCCAATTCTCAGGCAAACGCTCAATCAAATACTCTTTCCAAGTCATTCTCAAGGCCGATTCTCATGACCGATCCGACGACCTCTTTTCTATTGGGGTCATTTCTCATGACTGACCCATCGGTTCTTCTCAATTATCAATCTCAATTTTTTTTCAAAGTCGCTTTCCATTACTGTCGCGATGGCCTTCCCACTCCACATCTTTCTCACTTCCTCTCCCAAGGCTGTTTCTCATAATCGTCCTCATAGCCCTTTCAATTTTCCTTTTACCTCCTTCAATCTCCTTCTCCAAGGATGACTCTTATGACCGACCCGACGACCATTTCAAATCTCCATCCATCTCTTTTAAATCCTTCTCAAGGCCAATTCTTGTGACCGACCCGACGACCATTTTCAAATCTCTATCCATCTCTTTTAAATCCTTCTTAAGGTCAATTCTTGTGACCGACCCGGCGACCATTTCAATTCTCATAACTCAATCCAGCTCAATCTCATTCAGCCTTTATCAAGCAATCATGCAAGAGTACCCTAGTGGCAATTCCTAATGACCCTTATCAGGGGCCATTTTGCTATTTCAAGTCGAACAACCTTGTCAGGGTCATTCTTTTCCATTCCAGTCAATCAACCTTGTCAGGGTCATTCTTTTCCATTCCAGTCGAACAACCTTTTTTCAGTGGTTATTCTTTTCTATTCCAATGTTAGCACCCGAAGGAATGGGTCTCGAGGACATGGATCCCATTTTTTACTAGGGGGGGGGGGGTAGAAGTTGGCCATCCTATACAGTTTTCTACGTGCGATAACTTTTATCATTTCTCAACACAACTTGTTGTTACAATGAACTCATGCATAAACCCGACTTAGCGTCTAGCGCTCAGGCAAAGACTCTCATCCTCAGGCAGCGCTAGCCCACCCGGTCGTTCAACCATAGATCAGAACGTGGGGCCCATCTGTCATTTTCACTCTTGCTCACTCTCACACCTTTGTCTCTTGCGATATGACTTTGACTTGGTTGGATTAGGCTCCTACGGGAGGGACATCTTCACGCCCCTCTACCCATAGGTTCCCTAACCTCTTCCGCACTCAACTGACACTCAATGCCTTGTCTCGTTCAACAAGCCAAATCCATAGTCCTTTTCCAAATGCAATCTTTGTCTTTCCCAAGGTCCATAAAACAACCATTCCAACTGGTTTCATACCAACCTTCCTTGCCAACCCTTCCCTCGTAGAACTTCTCAAGGTAGCTCAAACAAAAAGTAGTCCATAACTATTCACTGCTTGTCTTGCTAAGTATTGGTTAGTCTATGTCTTGTTCAACTACCTTATTCACACTTGCCAAGCACTACCATCTCAATTGTTAAAAAACCTTTGTCACACATCTATCATTCCTAGTCCCTTTTGCTGCCACTAGGCCTTTGCAGCTTAGTTTCTCGTTTGACACCTCTTCTTGTTGGTCCCTCGACCCCCAGGCGAAATGTCCCGATTTCCTTTTTTTTTCTCACAATTTCTTGCAATGCATTCTCACTGTAGAAGTCCAAGGATGTGGCTGTCTCCCCGACCCTCTTAATTTTTTTCCTGATCCATTGTTTGAACCAATGATTACATGTTGGTCCAAACTCTTCCTCCCACTTGGAGGGTCCTTCCTTCGAGCCACTGTCGCTGGCTGCCCTTCTTCTCGTGGCCTTGTAATCTCATCCATCTCATCCCCATTGCTGATCTCGATGACTTCACACGGTTTGTCCTCATCCTCATTCTCCTTTTAGCGTATGGGGTCGTATTCACCCGTAAAATTCTCCGGGTTTAGGCTGTATGGTGTACTCAAGCTTCCCTCGTACCTCCCCTCATAGTCCCCATAGTACCTTTTATAGCAGTCGGGCATGCTTTGTCCCTCCTCCTCAGTTCTTTCTTCCATCCTTTAGTCCCCACTTCCGTCCTCAGACAATGATTGCAACTTCTCGCCTTCCTTGAGGGGTGACGACCCTCGGCATGTGATTTTTTTTCCCCTTTTTCCTAGTGTACTTCTCAGTTGTGGGCCTATAAACAGTATTGGCCTCTACCTGTCATGTCGTCTCTCTGACCTATGCCACTCATCATGGCTTGGTACATTAGCGTGGTTTGCATTGTTCTCGTTGTTGAACTCCATTTTCACTCCAATTTTTCTTGTGCCTGTGATCACAAGGAAGATGAAATGGCTTGTCCATACTCCCAAAGCCCAGCCCAGACCAAAGCGAAGCCCAATTCCCTTATGGTACCACGATTCCCTTCTGCCCAAGAATGCACTATTTGCCCGAATCCCCTTCATGCAATACCATATGATACACCATTTCGCGTCCTGCATCCAGATCCCATCCATCCCCCGCAGAAACTATCATACATTGCCCCAGGTATCCATCCAGATCCTCTCCATCCACAAAAAAACTATGATACATTGCCCCCGACACCCAATCCTTGTCACTCAGTCCATGCAACCTTCCCCATATGCACAATCATAGCCATCCCAAAAAAAGACAAAACACATCACAAATAAGATTTTTGTCAGCACCTAACCTGCTGGCTCCCCAGTTTCCTTATCCTCTGTTTCCTGCAACCACTGTTTGACTGGATCCCGACTTAGAAACCTGACCAGCCGTTGTCCCGGAAATGACCCTTTCAATCCAGTCCCATCCAACTTTTCCAACCCGAAGGTGTTCACCCCCAGACGCTTGGCGAGCCGGTAGGGGCCATTGAATCTCCTCCCCAACTGTCATGACCAAGTGCTCTCTATTGCCAAATTTCTAACGAGGACCATTTCCCCCACTTGGAGTGATTATTTCCTGATATTCTTGAATTGGTCCCACCTTGCCTTATCTTTCATTCTGCTATCCAAGACCGGGTTCACTACCTCTTATATTGCCTCCTCATTCTAAATAATCTGCCGACATCGAGCCTCAATCAATTGCTCTGTCGTAAAGTGTGGATCGACGTCCAACCTATTCCAAGTTGGAACCAGAGCTTCCACTGGGAAGCCAATTTCCCTCTCATTCCATAACTTGGCTGGAATACATCATGTAGTCCTCTTCAGAGTCACGTTTTCTGAGAAGACGGCCTGCTTAAGGTACTTGGGTTAGTTCCCAAGATCGTCTGCTGCTAACTTCGCGATTGTGTTATGGGCGCATTCGCCTCCGGGTGGTATGGCTCAATTAGCTTAATGGGCACCCTGAGTCTCCTACATCTGCTCAACACCTCTTGATTTACGAACTTTGTCCCATTATCAGCCATAAACCTTCTGATGAATGGATGCCTCAGGTGGAAGTTTTCAATCCAACCTGCCACTGCTCTCCCAATTTTCTTTTTGAGGGTACTGCCTCCACAAACCCACTAAGGTTATCTCTAGCGTCAAGGATGTACCTGTATCCTTCCATAGACACAGGCATGATTGCAAGATCTCGATGGACCAGGTGCCCTGGTCCTAACACCCACGTGGGCCTCAATGGTTCAAACACTCGGGCCGAACTCCGCTCTTGGCAGATCAGGCAGGTCTGGCAGTATGTGGCCAACGTCCTCTTTGAGGAGCAATGTCCCCCAGTCAATCCATCACGCATTGTCTGGATTATATCCACCTGCCTGGACCGTCCGCACACAACCCTTCTAGGCATTAGGCCCTCCTCCTTCTTGAGGAGGTGCCTATTCTTTAGCACGTACTTCTCGACCTCCTCTCTCCCCTTGAGGCTGATCTCCCCAACCTCCTTATTTCCTACTACCATTAGACTGATTTCCCTTAAAATCCCATCGTACATCTTAATATAGAAGTACTCCTTCCTATCCTGGTGATTCTCTTTTCCATCTTGCGCCTGGTTCACCAGGTGCTACTGCCACTCTTGTTCCCATGATTCAACCAGGTTCATAATTGTTTCCCGTCCTCCTTCTACTGCCATAGCCATCAGCTCCTCCTGTGGTCCCACAATGCCCCCCAATGAATCCTTCTCTTCCTTACGACCCTGCTTTGTAACTGATCTTTCCCCGAGTTCCACAACTATGGCGGGAGACTTTTTTTCCAAGGCTTTAATCAACAACTCCCCAGATGCATAAGCCGCGCGTCCATCATCTCGTTGTCCACCATAAGGGTCCCTCCCTCGTAGTCGAGGAACGCGTCGATAGGTTTTGCGTCCTCGACTTCTTCCGACGTAATGCAAACCCTGGTCAGGCCATCGACCCAATTTCTAAGGTCGGCAATGCGCTCAATCTTGTAATCGAACTGCCAAATGAAGCCTACCCATCTTCCCACAGTAGTGTCTATGGGCTTGTAATTCTTTAGCGCTCTTGCGACGTTCATTGGATCGATCCTCATAATGAACCGCCTCCCAAAGAGGTAAGCTTGGAAGGTCTTGAGACAGTGAAGGACGGTCAGTGCCTCCTTCTTAAATTAAGAGTAGCGACGCTCTACTGAGTTCAACGTCCTACTCTCAAATCTGATGGGCCTTTCTCTCCCATCTTCACCTCTTTCTATCAGTACTCCGCCCACAACTAGTGATCCCCAATTGGTCTTAAGTGTAAACGGTCGTCCTACCTCATTATTAAAGCACGGTGCGGCAAGTGTAACGTTTTCTGACTTCAATATATCTTTGAGGGCTTGGACTGCGGTTTCTCGCTCCTCACTCCAGTCCATTGCGCCTTCTTCGCGAATCATGGCCCGAATGGGTTGTGGTATCTTGGCGAAGCCCTTGATAAAAATCCTCCAAAACCCCACAACCCTTAGGAAGGCCCTTACTTCCATTGTGGTACGTAGGGGTGTTGGCCCGTATGACCCGCAACGAAACCCTAGGATGGTCACTTTTGGGACTGCAAGGATACTCTTAGGACCGCTGGCGGTGATGTTGTATACCAAAAACCTGCGAAGAACCTCCTTGAGGTCCTATAAATGGTCCCACACAAACTTTCGTACTCCGGGCTGAACTTTCGTCTCATCCTTCTCCCGAACGCCCTTGATTGGATTGTCGTCAATGTAAGGCTCACATTTTGCTGGGAACATATCCCCAACAACTGCGAGCATTCTCCTTTGTGCCTCCGCCACAACATTGGTGAAGCTCATAGGGATTACTTGCATTTGCAGCTGGCCTACCAAGGTATGCATAGTCGTGTAGGGTCTATCACGGGCGTCGAGCGGGAGCTGATCGTATCCAGAATAGAGATTTATCAGTGAGTAAATGCTTCGACCGGCGTGAGATTCTGCTAACAAGTCTGCTTGAGGCAGCAACCCTGCATCTCGGATAGTGACAACATTCAATTTCTGCAAATCCTGGATCCACCTAAGCGTCTTGTTAGGTTTCCAAAACACAAGCCACAAGTTCGCGTACGAGGATGCGGTAGCTTTCGCCACGAAGGAGTCCATTTTCGCTCTAAGCAAGCCCGCTACTTCTTCCACTATTCCAAAGTCGTAGGCTGGTCCTTCGTCATTCCAACATTCGTCCTCATCTGTGTGAATCTTGATGGGGGGTATCAACTTTGCATCCAATCATCTCTTGTGAAGATCGTTGAAGGCGATTGCCAGGTGAAATTTCTGACACGCTTCCCTGATCAAACGAGTCTTCTGCTCTGTCAAGAATCCCTCTACTCCTATCTTCATGGTATCTACTGTTTCGTTCGGTATTCGATGCCCGTCCGTTGCCCGTCTTTCTCTGATCACTCGGAGAACTTCTTCCTCCTTTTCCATGGCTTCTTCTTTTGTTGTTTCTAGCAGGACCGAGACAGGCTTAGCCTTCTTTCCTATTGGCTTATACTTGCGAATGCTTCCCTCCGGGATCTTTTTTCAAAAAAATGAGCAGTTGGGAGTTGGGACCACCCTTGGTACCTCGGCAAGTCGTGGCTGGATGCTGATCAGTTTCCCATTTAGACAGTGGCCCTTTCGGACTTCTCCCTCAAACTTGGCAAGCGCGACCGGATCCACCCCTTCCTTATGGTACTTGATGGCTTTGACAAGCTGCAGTAAGTCTAGGATCTTAAGCATTCTCCCTGACTCCTCATTTTGCGCCTCCTTTGGCCTGGGTAGATTGACCCCTAGTTTGACCTCCGTTTCCTTTTCTATCACCATAATGCCCAAAGCGTCCTCCTTCTGTCTTCGCTTCTTTTGTGGCAGTCCCATCTTGACCCACTCCTTGTTGAATGCCTCCTCAATCATGATCTCTACCCTTTCTCTCATCTCTTTCATTCTTGCAAAAACCCCTTTTCTGACACTCTCTTCAAAGGATGGTGACCATGTTGCTAATTTCCCCTTTGGAGTGTCGCCCCCTGTCCCAATGAGACGGAGCAACTCACCACGTCCCGTTACCAGATCCTCTATGTCTACCATGTATGCCCCATCGTGCAAGTGCATCCCTATCATTTCCACATTCGCACACCAGGGTCTTCCAAGGATTATGTCATGATCCATGTCATTCATGACGATCATCCATTGAAATGACCAAATGGACTCCCTTACTCCCGCCTGACATATCAAGAGAACAGGATATCCCATCCTGCCATGCAGTTTCTTTATTAACCGCACATCCCGTGATTTCCGCAAAGTCTTTCCTAATGAGCGTAATTTCAACCCCTCCGTCCACCAACTTATCTGTGTGGTAGCTTCATTTACACCTTCAATTTCCCTACTGGCAGCGCGTGGAAGCTAAGTTTCGTTCCAAATGGTGCCTTTATAACTTCCCCACCTTCGCGATCCGGCAAGCTCAGGCGGATGTCTGCGAAGGCTTTCTCCAGGTCTTCCAGGTCCCCCGGAATCCTCTAGAGGTTACCGACTCCGCGTGGTGCCTCCTCTTCCTTCTCTTTTTCCTGAGGTTCCGGTCCTTCCTTTACCTCTACTCTTCGCCGAGTTAGCAATTGTCTAAGACCCTTCAGGAGCCTAGGACTTGCCTGTAACATTGTCTGGAATGAAACCGACACCATGGTCCCTAGCAGTTTGCTAAGGGTGCCACCGATCTCGAGCATAGTCAGAATAGGGATCTCGTACTGGAACTTCTTTTTGGCCAAGGTTGCTTTGTCTACCGGGGCCTGTTCTCTAGGTTTCCCGTAAACCCTCTCCTACTCTCGCGCCTCAGTCTCCTGCGGCGCCCCCGGTCCATCCCCCGCGTCTTCCATAACTGCGTTGTCGAGCGCACGGTCCCCGCTGGGGGAACCTTCCCGGCCGCGTCATGCAGGATTGGCAGAATTCGCAAGTCGCTTCACGAAAAGGGAAGCGACGGAACCGCTCCGGCCGAGTGTGCCAGCTATACCTCCATCGAGCCCCTACGACAGGATAGGGTCTCGCGAGGTACAACTTACCTCCACCCGTGGGAGCTGTCACCATCATTTGGGTGGGCGTATCCCCGTCGAGCTACTGAACCACACGCGAAAGTTTTTACTTGCAATCACGGAGGTGGCTCAACCGAGGGCGTTTCTCGTATGCTACGCGAACCGTCACGCTGGGGCGCTTTCTCCCACATGCGGTTCAGCGACAGTCGACTAGGACATCCTAACTCAACCACGCGATATGCGACAAAACAAACTAACTCAGACAAACAAATTAGCCTAGTCCCTTTTTCATACGTCCTGACCCATAACTCAAAAGAGCCTTTCTGTCTGAGCGAGGCCCACACAGATTTGCATAAAAAGAGTGCGGACACGAAGGGAATCATAACGCTTTGTCATGTGTACTCGCTTGATCTGCTGTCATGGCGACGCTTCATGCGTTACCGACATCCATGCATCCTTTCATGGGTTTTGGGGTTGCGTACGACATTCAAGTGTCGAAAGCAAAATATCGTGAAGGGTTCTTCCTTCACGATATTGCACGGTTGAAGGATAAGTTGTGCGGCCCTTGTTGCGCCCCTGTCTTTTGGGTAGTGGGTGACCATAAACAAGAGGCGTAGGCCCGATTCAAGGGGGAAACCCTTTTGTGCTGGACCAGAGTCTGGGATGTCCTGGACAAGGACCTCAAATTCCAGGCTTAGGACCAACGTCCGACTAATAATTTAAAAAGCAAAACCCCTTTTGAGATGGGATTCGTTCGTCCTTCCCCTGAAGGAAGAAAATAAGAGTAGTCACGGGTTGACGAGCAATTCGCCATACCTAAACTAAGTCTCATTCCGAACAAAGGTCGAGCGCTAAACCTTGCGCTCGGCTTCTCCTGCCTGCTCGCTAAATGCGTGCGACAAGAGCAAAATAAGAAAAAGAAAAGGGTGAGTCTCAGAGGAAATCAGGGAGAGTCATTCTCACAGCCATAGTTGAACCTTGTCACTCACACCATGCACTCATTCATCCATATCACTCTCAATCCAGAAGCGAGGCCCATACATACCTGCACACACATGAAACCCAATTAAAATTCACATCCAATGCCACAAAACGTGGTCAACCCCTTTGCTCCCACGTTTATGTCCCACATGCCCTTTTCCGACCCCCACTCAACAAAAGCATACATGCCCGTCCCAATTCACACAACTTTTGCATGGCCATTCAGGAGTGGTTCAGAGAATAAGGACTTTATTTACACAGAAATGCAATTCGCCTACGGGTTCACAAACATCTGGGCGCGGGTATCACGGAGGGTAGGAGTTGAGTCGCAAACCGACTTGCTATCAAACTGATAGCATAAGTTGATGAAGCTCAAGACTTTGAAGAACACTCGCAGGTAGCAATGACTTGCGTCACAAAGATCAAGACAGGCATTGCCAATCGAGTTAATGGAGTTCAACTCCGTATTTGCACAAAGGAGCTACTTAGTAGTAGCGTCCAGTAACGATGTGAAAATCTTGAAAATTTTGGCAGCACTTCCATTAGGGAAGTGTGCACGAAAAATATTTACTATACTAAATCTCAAAAGAGAACTTGTCACTCTGAAAATATCTGACAATAAACTAACTCCTTGGTTTTAGTAAAAATTTTGGCACTCTTTGGTTTTAGTAGAAATTTCGGCACTCTTTGGTTTTAGTAGAAATTTCAACAACACTTCCTTTAGAATTAGAAAGGAAGGCTTCCATAATTCCTACTGACCCCAAAGACTAAACTATAGCTTATCCTAGCTGACATTTCTGAAACTTGACTAACTTTGAGTATTTAGCAAAACTTTTAGCAACATCTCCCCTTAGTAGAAGAGGTTCCCATAACTTCTACTAACTCGGAGGCTAGTCAAAGTCCTACAAGACATAATCATACAAAAAGAGACAATGCGAAAACAAAATGCAGATATGTACCAGCCTATCGCTCAAGCATAAGGCGAGCACTAACAAAGTACCCTACTACGCAAAAAACAAACAGAGCTTCAGCAAAAAAAACAAAACAATGTCAGCAAGCATGTCATGTTCACAACGCATTCAACCAAAACAAGGGTTCGTTTATCAAAAGTTTTCATATTTCGCTTGTTCTGATCGCAAAAACATTAGTCATGTATCTTACTTAGTTGATTTATTTTCCAAGTTTTTCTCAGTCAACCTCATGCAATCACTAACACACAAGCCTATACTATTCTCACAAAGAGAATACCAGACCTTTCTCAACAAGCAAAATCGACTGACTCAGCAAGGCGACCAAATCAGTCGAAACGACTTCACTTCCAGCCCCGGTTCAACGTCTTAGGCAAACGAGCAAGGCGACCGGATCAGCCTGGAGGACCTCATTTCCAGCCCCAGTTCAATGACTTAGGCAAACGAGCAAAACGACCGGATCAGCCTGGAGGACCTCATTTCCAACCCCAGTTC